TATCATCAAAATATATTTTTCTCCACAAGAAAACAGGCATGACAATTCTTCAAGCATAATTCCTCAACTACAAAATGGTGAGTTCTTCAAGAGTCTCATGTATTCATTTTTGCCCAGATAAACTAACTCTAGAATCATAAATTACATTTCTGACAAGACCAAAACAACATTCACTTTAAATATTCTTTCCTGCAGTTTCTAATCTCTGAGTATCATTCTCAAATGATAAAATGACTTAAATATACCAGAAAAAAACAAAACAAAACAAAACCCCCAAATCCCACCAAAAGAGGCTCCTCCAATTTATTTTCAAAACATAAAACATGTTCAAAATTTGCCAAAGCAAGATAACTCCACCAACTTTGAAAGATAGTATAAGTAGCAGTTCCCAATTGTAATCTTGGACATATACTGTTAATCTCAAATGCTGTATGCTGTACTGATGCTTATTTTTTAAGGAGTTTTAAAATTATATGACCACCACCAACAGACCCAATAAATGTAAATGCGGAAGTGTGGAAACTGCTAGAGAGGGAAATGATAGACAAAAAGTGGTGTAACAATTTTACATAAAATACACAAAATAAAACCATGAATTATTTCTTTCTATTTTCTCCAGTGATCTGAACTGTAAGTGGCTTCTAGAATTAAGTTCTCAACTCAGCTATACCAAATAGCAAACTATTAAAGGAAAGTTTAAAACTCTCATTTATAATTTAAAAGCCTCATATTGATGACCACTGTTTACTTGATTTATACTTTAGAATCCAATAAATGAGAAGACTTTGATAAAACTAAAATGACTTATAAGTTAGAAAATCATTACTGTAAAATATTAACTATCCAGCTCTCCTGCTGTTCTGTTCACCTTTTAGACAGAACCTTCATCACTGGCAGGTAGGTATAATGGGGGGGCGAGGGGGTAGGCTCTGGAACCAGGAGGACATGAGTTTGAACTCTGGTGCACCACACTTGAATACAATTTTCTGAACCTATTTTTTCATCTCTAAAATGGGGATATTAATACCTACTTAAAAAAACTTATAATAATTAGTGAAAATACATGTAAAGCAGCTGGCACATAGTAGAAATTGAAGAAACTTCAGCTGCTGTTAAAATTTTATTACTTACAAGAACATCCAAGAAAACATAAAAAAGGACATGATAGTAAAATAAATCAGAACCTAGCTTACATTTAACTGCTGAAACAAAACAAGTGAAAAGACTATGATAGTTCAAGGGAAACTTTGGGCTAAACTTTTTGTTCACATTTTAAATACACCAGATCAACATTATAACCCCTCTTAATAAATATGTAAAAGTAGCTACAGGAGCACTTAGTTTGGAGCTAAATGAAAAGATTATTATCACACAGTAAAACATATAATTTTATAAACAAGTGAGATGATTTTACCATTGGAAAAAAATGCCAAAACTAAGATTTAAAAATGCTTATGAAAGGATAGTAAAAGATTCCTACCTTTAAACCGACTGCTATAAGATCTGTAACAACACTGTATGGAAAAAGTAAAAAGAGAAAATGGAAAACAAAGTTAGAGAACAAGTTTTTAAAAGACAGATAATAAGATTAAAGAAAAAAAAGAAAAAGCATTATAATAATAAATAATAAAAATAAGAATGTGATGAGTTGTGAAATGTTAATACAAAGAAAAGTGATGGGATAGCTAGCAAAAGCAGAATGTAAAAGCAAAGCTTCAATAGAAATGTAAGAAACAACTAATTAATCAAATTCTCTTTTAGTATTTGGAAAAGTATAGTTGTGCTTCAATAAAATGATGTTTATCCATTTACTTCTTTTTAACAAATCCAAACCAAAACCTAAAATCACCAAAGTTCATTCTCTTAAATCACTGGTACAAATGATCCTGTTAAAAATTTTTAAATTAAAGAAAACCAGTGAGTGGATTTACAGAAATAGTAGGTATTCTGCAAATTTGCATATAGCACCCAAAAGAGCTCACTAAAATACAGCTAAGATAATCTCTCAGAACCCATCAAATTTCAGACATCAAAATTTTCAAATATTGGCTTTTTAAATCAGTTCTACCACATCAAAATTGTATTGGAGGATCATTTTGTAAATTATATAATTGTCTAACCACTATGCTGTACACCTGAGACAAATATAAAAATTTTTTAAATAATAATAGTTAATTTATTTTAAAATTAAGCTTATATTTAAATAAAAGTTAACTATGGAAAAAAACTGCTTAAATATAAATTATCTTAGGACGAAATGAACACATGAACACACACACACACACACAATTGGGATTTGAGGAGGAACTAGAAAGATACGTTTGATTCGTGGTTTGTTGTTTTTTGATATTCAAAATAATGAAAAAGGACCTTTTTCAGGCTGTGGGGAAATGTAGAAATTTAATTAGCCCCTTGAAAGCCAAAATTCACTGTGTTCAAAACCATATTCCTTAACACCAAAGTGTAAAAAACCCTATAAAGTTCTGCTGAACGAAAATCCATCTCTTCTAACTCCAAAGAAACTGTCTTCAATTCAGTTTGTCTACATAGCTCCTAAAAGAAAACTGTAACTAAATCCTATGTATTGTTAACCAATAATATCATCATTACTTAATAAAAGTAAACGCATTTATGACGCTGGACTATTTAATGATGCAAATTTAATTGTTTTAAACAATAACCACATAGACTTATTTTTCCTTATAGACTTTTGAAATGTAAAAACCATCTGTCTAAAATTTAAATGTGAAAAATAACTGGTTTGTGCATAAAAAATAAGGTTGTGCATTATGCTGTAGTATTGGTCCTGCTGCAGAGTAAATCATACACCTACTTGAACTCTCAAATGAACTTACCTTCCAGTACCTTATTGCCCCACATATTTAAATCATTAAACTCATTCTTAGTTCTAAAGCCACATATAGAACAGAGAGTTAACTTCTTAAAACATTCTCCAAAATATTAAGTTTACAGTTCTTGTTGTCCAAGAGTTTAATAGCCAAGATGCATAACCCAAGAGTCCTCTATATTATCACTATACATTTTCCAGTACAAAAAGCTAACCTGTTTCCATAACTCAAGTCAAACTGTCCTACAATTCATTCCACATAATTAAATACCAATTTCACAGCCTTCCTAACTAAAATAAGTGGCATAATTACACAAAATAGAAAAATTCTGCACACATTTAAGGTGTAATTGAATAAGGTGATGTAAAATGAGTTTTCAACAAAGCACTCAGAGAAGCTTCAATTAAACACTAGTTTCAATTAAATAAAAAATACTTTAAATAACATCCAGCCACAAATGAAATGTAAAACTGAACTTTGTCTAATGTCTGTAGCAGTGTACAACATGCACTCAAATGAATTGATCCCAGACTTAAGATTATGATACTAGGATAAATGAAATATAATGAAGGCAAAAATTGTTAAGATTCCATCGTCCCTACAACAGCATGACAATTATTGACTATATGGCAACATGTACACGGCTTTTACTGTTCAAGCAAGTTCTACATGTTCTATGACCGAGGAGTTTACAGAAATCCTGTCATCAAAATAAACAAAACCTCGAATGCCTAATGGAAATAAATAAGTGGATTTGCAGGTTTTCATAGAGCTGGAAATATTTAAAACTCTTGATGCTACATATACTACGACCTTAAATTGATTCACGAATATCTTAATCCAGTTGTTTCCTTAAATATTAATATCTGTCAGGTCCTATCCCATACCACTGGGTCCTCAAGAGAAACATTTATATTGGTAATTCTAAATCTTTTTACTTTAATCACAGACCTCATTAACTTTTAGAGCGTTTACAGGCTCCCCGGAAATTGCACTTACACAATATTTTGCATACATGGCAGGGAATTCACTTAGTTTCGGGGGGAGGAGGTGTCCAAGTGCAGACGCCTGGTATAGAATCGCTAACACAGCTCAGAGCACAAGTCCGGGGACCTCCGCCGGTTTCCCCCAACGCGGAGACCCGGCGTGGGGCCCTGGCTTCGGGACCCGGTCGCCGCCCAGACGTGTACCGACGCGTGCACTCGCCGTCCGCCGCTCCGCGGCCACTCGCCTCCCGGCCTGGGGAAGCTCCAGCGCTCGCCCCACCTCACCGGTAAACAGCAACTCCCCAAGCGGGAGGACGCCCGCCCGGAGCGCCGCCTCCGCCTCCCCCAGCGCCGCGCACCATTTTCAGAGAGGAAGTGTGGAGAGGCCGGGCAGGGCTCCCCGACCCTCGGCGCGGAGGGCGGCCCCAGCCCCCGGCGGCGACACCGGGCTTTCCTCCACTTCCCGGTGTGTGGGGCGGATATTACGGGGGCGCCCCGTGGGGGAAGGCGAGGCTGCGGCGCACCGCCCCTCCGCAATTCGAGCTCCCCTAGGAGGCGCCCGGAAGCCCCGCCGTCGGGCTCAGCCAGGGCCGCTCCTCCGGCCGCCGGCGCCGCGCCCAGCTCCCCGGCCTCGGCACGTCCGGACCAGAGCCGAAAGGAAGCGGGACAAGCGCAGCCCGGCGCAGCCGCCGCGCCGCTGAGCACTTACCCATCCATGGCCCAGACGGAGGAGCGCACAGTGCGGAGACTGACGGGCTCACCGCGAGCAGAGGGAGGCGGCAGCAGGGCGGCTCCGGAGGACAGGCAAGCGGTGCCTGTCCACAACCCCAGCGGGTCGGAGGTGGAAGGAGAGTGGGAAACAGGGGCGGAAACCAGGGACGCTCCCGCCACCGCCGCGCCCCCGCCTTCCCCACCCCGCAAGCGCGTCCCCGCCTCGCCTCACCCCGCCCCTTAGCGTCGACGCCCTCCCTTGGCCACGCCCTCGGCCAGCCTCCGGCTCGGCTCCAGGGCGCCCTCTTCCGGAGGGCTTCCTAAGACCGCCTCCCTCCTCTCATCCCGGTGCGCGCGTGCGCGCCGCCTGCCGTCTCCCTCCGGCGTCCACGGGAGCGCGCGCCTTGTGCTTCCCGCTTCGCCGCCCCGCCCTCCTGCCTGCGGGCTCAGGCGGCCTTGGGGCTTCTCCGCCCAGGACCGCCTGGCTTGGATACCTCCCTCTACCGGCAGGAAAAGCGTTGGAGCCCGACGCCGGAGAGTAGGTAAGAATGTCCCGCGAGAACCCCCCAACCGCGGCGTTAATTGCCCTGGCTGGGCGAGGCTGTCGGTGGCTCGGCCTCCAAGCACAGAGGCCAGGCGTGGGGCTGTCGTCCTCCGAGATTCGGGTGCTCGGGACCCCAGCCGGGGACAGCTCCAGCCAGTACTGGACCCACCCGTTGCCCGCTGGGAGTCGACTCTGGGACCCGCACTGGCCCGATAGGTGTGGTTGTGATTAAGATGAATGAGATTCAAGAGACTGCCCGAATTTGAGAACATTTGATTTTTTGTACAATTTTAGTCTCCGGGAGCTTTTCCGCCCGATAGTCTGGAACTGAATTTATATGAAACATTCATTGCACAGTTTGGAAAGGTCCACCCAAAGCCAGCATTTTATAAAGTTCTACGCTTTTCTCCATTAAAAAAACACACACACACAAAAACCTATAAGGGAGTGATTCCCGTTTTTCAGATAAAAATTTAGACACGAATATAGTGATTTGCCTATATTCACAGACAATAGAGCCTTTCCTCTAGTTTGAGCAAAGCTATATACATATATGTATATGTATATATATAATTTTTAATATATATAATTTTATGTAAAAAAGCGACTTGCCACTGTTGGCAACTCGCTTGTTTTTTCCCCTTATATTTTGTTTAGTTCTTAATTTGAATGACTTTTCAATTCACAGATCACCAAAACGTGAGCCACTAAACGCTATCCTGGACCAAATTCTTAACCTCCTAAATAGAAGGAAAGAAAGGGCTGCTCCCTCTCTGCTTCCTCATTTGGAAAGCAAGTAACAAGACGCTTAAGTAACAAGTAACAAGGTATCATCTATCCTTGCTAATATGCTGCTTTTAAATAATTGTGTGCTACTAAAAATATTTAAACTGTCTATTCATCCATCATTCTGTCAGTATTTACTGAGTATTTACTGTGTGTCAAGCACTGCAGGGGTACCCAAGAAAATCAGGTTCCAGCCTTTATGGTTGAATGGATTCTGTGATTCAGTTTATTTATAATTTATTTATTGGCCAAAACCAATTTTCAAATATCTCAGGTACCTTTAAAGTACTATATCTGATCTCAATCCCTTTTTCTAATAGGTCAAATATACTTTGTTTTGTATGTTAAATCCAAATATTAAGTTGCAGTTGTAAACATTGCTACTCTGCCTTGCCAGATAGTAAAAATATCAGCAAGATAAGTAACTGATTTAGTCTTGCTGTTGTTGTTTGGGGAGATATTCTGTTGATTAAATTTCCTTATTTTTTACACAAAAAATATAATTATACGTGCCCATTGTGAAGAATTCAAACTATTAAATATTAAAAAGTTATGATTAGCCTGGCCAGTGTGGCTCAGCGGTTGAGTGTCAACCCATGCACCAAGAGGTCACTGGTTCGATTCCTGGTCAGAGCACATCCCCAGGTTGTGGGCCTGATCTCCAGTGGGGGGTGTGCAGGAGGCGGCCAGTTAATGTTCTCTCTCATTGATGTTTTTATCTTTCCCTCCCTCTCTCTCTAAAATTAATAAAGAAAAAATATTTTAAAATAAATAAATAAAATAAAAAGTTATAAATATATTTTTCACAAACCACCCCCTGCCAATGATATCCAGTGTAACAATTCTCTATGCATCCTTCTAAACCCTCACCATTTTTTATTTGCTTCTTTCACTTGATAATTTTGGAGATTTTTTTTTTCATGTTAGTACTTTTCATCTACTTAATTCTTTTTAATATTGCATAGTATATTTTATAATTTCATGTACCATAATTTAACATGTTATAAAATAGTGGAAATTTTCACTGTTTCTAATTATTTAAAGTAACTAACAACATTGTAAAGGACATCATGTGTGTATGAACATCTTTGCACACATATGATTGTATATGAGGACTAGATTCCAAGAAGCAGAATTGCAGAACAAAGAGTATAAGCATTTTCAAATCTGATAAATATTGCCAAAATGATCCCCACAAGGCTGTACCAATTTACACTTTATTTAAAAACCAAAAAAAAAAAAAAAGGCTTTCTCTTAGCCCTACTCCTTAAGATAGCTAACAAATTTCAGTATTAAAAAAATTAATGTGGCCCTGGCCAGTGTGGCTTAGTTGGTTGAGCATCAACCCATGTGCCAACGGGTCACTTTGATTCCTGGTCAGGGCACATGCGGTTTCGGGCTCAATCCCCAGTAGGAGGTGTGCAGGAGATGGCCAATCCATGTTTCTTTCTCACATAGAATTTTCTGTCTTCATCTCCCTTCCTGTCTCTCTAAAAAATCAATAAAAACATATTTAAAAAAATAAAAATAAATGTGAAATTTATCTCAAATCATTATCCATATTATTAACATTGTTGACCGCTCATGAATTAACTCGTGTTTTCATACCCAAACGTAGCTGACCTCTTACAAGTTAACTCGTGTTTACACTTGCGGTTAGCTATTTCAATTTTTGAAACTCAGGGTAATATAGGATTATTGCATTTGTGACTCTTCGCCCTGAGGGTCGAAGTTCGAAAAACAGCAGTGTTCTATATTCTTGAAGTGGCTGGGCAATGGATATCTGCTGGTTCAAATGAGCGCAGCTCAGAACCTAACACTTCTTCTGGTACTTCTAAAAGAGCTCTTTACATTGATTCACCTTTTAGGCTTTCAGGGCAACTAAAAGACCACATTTTAGAAAAAATAGTCACTGATATAAAAAGACAAATCCAACTAGAATGTGTAAAATGTGTGTTTCAAAAGGTCATTGCTATACAGTATACCACACCAAAAAAATTACTAAAATATATAATATGTATAAAATATAATATGTAGCAGATATGTATGAAGTTTCACTTAAATTCATTATGTATAAATAAAGTATACTGAAGTTTATTTAGATGGTTTCACTTTCATACGCAATTACGAAAAAATAGCCAGTGACAGGAGATAACTTCTGTGTAAAATTGCCGGTCACCAGTGTGTTAACAATAACTCTGAAAAGTCTCCAATGTACCTGACTAAAATGAACAAAACTGTATGACGTTTCCTAACCAATTAGCATCTAATTTTAACAACAGAAGCCTAGAAATAAGAAAACAGCTCACAACAGAAAACAAAAAAGTGAAACCTTTCCCTCTTCCCTGCTTCTTGGTCATAAATTCAGTTTCCCATGGACTGAGCGCCATAGGTTTTGTGAGTACCTCTGATTCAAAGACAGTGGATAGAATTGAATTTAGGTCTTCTAGAACTACCTTGAGAATCCTACCTAATTCCCAGAATTCATATGGCATGGAATACCACGTTCTTCTCAGCAAAAGTTTCTAAGTTTCTGAATGATCAGATATCACCCACATGACCTGGTTTGGCATGAAGGCTTTATTTTCTGTATACTCCAGGCTTCTGAATGGTGAAGAAGCTAACACATTCTGTATTTGCTAATTGTTCTATACTTTTGAAAGTTAAGACAGTTATAATAATTTAGTCTATAAATTATCTAACAGTTTGCCTTCCTTGTGTTTTTATTCTAATTTGTCTAAGAAATTCCTCTGAAACACTGTCATCTGATAAAAGACCCCCCCCCAACTATTATGTTTAGACAATATATAACCTTTGAACATTTGCCTTAAAGCATTCCAGTATGCAGTGGTAATTAATATTTAACCAACATTACCTTATTTTTATGGTTAAGACTTCTTAAGATATAAAAGCAATATAAAAATGCCAATGTAGGTAAGAAATAAAACCAGTTACTAGGTAAATCTGGGAGAGAGACATTTTGATATCATTTTCTTCCATAACAAATATAAAATCATAATCATTAATATGTATTCCCTAAAATAGAAAAATCAGAATTATACTGAGTGAAAAAAAAAAGCTACACTCAAAAAGTTCCATACTGTATGACCCATTTATATAACATTCTCAAAATGACAAAATTATAGATATGGACAACAGATTAGTGGTTGCCAAGGAGTGGAAGGGTATGGCGAGAAAAGGGGATGGGTGTGACTACAACGGAGTAGCAAGGGGGATGTTTGTGATAATGAAACAGTTCTGTATCTTGATTATGGGGTTGGTTATACACATCTACACATGATAAAATTGCATAGAACTTTAGATACACACAAGTGCATATAAAATTGGCAAAATCTCAAGATTTGTGGATTATACCAGTGTTAATTTCCTACTAGTTTGTTCCATAGTTAAGCAATAACAAACATCAAAGGTTTAAGGAAAATGTATGGGATTATAATTCATATTTTTCATGCTGTAGCACCTTGGTAAATCAAACTAGGTTATACTAGTTGACACACACTGAGTCTGACAGACTTTGCTCAGTCTGTTGAATTACAAGTCTTCCTTCAAAGTCCTTCCCAACTATTTGAGGAGAAGGCTTGAAAACATCTACATGCTCACTGACCTCTCCACCAATATGAGTCACGTCCATTTTCCTCACCCTGTGTGTGGTCCTGATGTAATCATCTCTATGTATCCAGTACCTGGTTCAGAGGACTCCACTGTTTCCACAGAAGGTGCCATCTCCTGTCACTGTCCTATAGTAGGAGTTGACAGCCCATGCTAATTTTCTGGAGCACTTTTCTGAAGAAGGGAGAATTTCTTTTCTGTCTTTTTGTCATACTATATCACCTAGGTCCAAATGTCTCCAAGTTCTTCATTCCTCACCTGAGGATATTTTTCTACTTATCAGTTAGAGTGGGATGGAGGAAGAGAGAGAGAGAGAGAGAGACAGAGGGAAACAGCAATGTGATAGAGACACATCGACTGGTTGCCTCCTGCACTACCCGACCAGGGCCAGGGACATACTGCAACTGAAGTACGTGCCCTTGACCGGAACTGAACCCACGACTCACTGATCCGTGGGCTGATGCTCTAACTGCTAAGCCAAACCAGCCAGGGCTCCAAATTTTTAATAAAACAACCCTTTCTGGTTTTTTTGTTTGTTTGTTTTTTTGGTATGTGCCCCTAGCGGGAACCGAACCTGGGGCTCTGGTCCGCAGGCCAATGCTCCCAACCGCTGAGCCAAACCGGCCAGGGCAACCCTTTCTGTTTTGATTCACAGAAAATCCTTTAGTATTTAGGCATGAATCTGTGGCGCTAAGCCAGAGAACAATCTGAAGAATAATCACGACATCATGCCCTTTAACCACTTAGCTTTTGTCCATTAAATTGGCGCATCCCGCCCTGGCTGGTTTGGCTCAGCGGTTAGAGAGTCGGCCTGCGGCCCAGAGAGACCTGGTTCGGTTCCCGCTAAGGGAACGTATCTTGGTTGCAGTTTGTCCCCGGCTCTGGTTGGGTCGTGCGGGTGGCGGCCACTCGATGTATCCCTTTCACGTCAATGTTTCTCTCTCTCCCTTCCACTCTATCTGAACAAAAAATTAACTCGGATGACGATTAAAAAAAAAAAAATTTTTGGCGCATCCCACTATCTATTGGGAAGGTGGGTTCTTACCTAGGTGTTTCCTTGGTCCCACTTAGAAGTAGATCTCTTGGAAATAGAGGTCATCATACCTCTTTAGATGTGCTTGAGTATATTTGATCCTGCTTAATTTCAAGCTGAGACACCCCACCCCATCCCTGCACTCCCACAAAAGGAGAATCCTGTTCTCCAACATTATTTATCAAAGAACTAGAAAAAGGGCACAATTTGAGTTAAGTAGAGCAACACCTCTGCCTAGGCAATAAAACTAATAGTATTCTGTATGGTGGCTGAGAGTGATCTAGGACCACATTTGCTAGTTAGAATCTTAAATAACTGAAGCAGTATGCAGCATTACCTTGCCCTGGCCCAGCTCTTGGTGGAGGGGGACATCCCAGC